CATCGTGGCGCGGCCGGCGTGCGGTGCCCTGGCAGGCCTGGCACGCCTGCGACCCCACGTCCCCTATCTCTTCAGTCTGGCCCTGCTGGCCAACGGGCTCACAGACCTGATCAGCGCGCGTGCGCGCTCCTATGGCACCCTCGTGGCTTTCTGCATCGCTTTCGGCCTCTCCTATGGCATGGTGGGAGCGCTGCAGTTCGAGGTGCTCATGGCGACTGTGGGTGCACCCCGCTTCCCCAGTGCGCTGGGCCTGGTACTGCTCGTGGAGGCCGTGGCGGTGCTCATAGGACCGCCCTCTGCGGGTGCGCACCGTAGGAAGGGTGGCTAAACATGGGACCTGTTGTGTAAGGGAAGCCCTTTAGATAGAACTTCCAGGAATGAGGGGAAGGCAGCCCCCCTTGCTGGAAAGCCTGGTTGGTGGACTCCCTCTACAGCCAGGGAACTCCTCCCCGAATCAGGGACTACCCCCAGGGGTGAGGATGGAAAAGTCAGAGGTCGGTCTCAAGAAGAAATACACAAATAGCCATCTAGCCATGTGGCTAGACGTTTTGGGCATGTCAGGTTTCTCAAGCAGTTAGCACGGGGGGTAGGGCCGGGGAAGGGGTTAGATCCGGAAGCTTAGCCTGAGTTGTGGGCCCGGATCTGCCCTCGCAGAGAGCTAACCTGCTCTGAATGTGTGTGGGCGTTAGTCCCAGCCTGTAAGGCAGTACAGGGAACCAGCCCTGACTAGGAACATAGAAGGGGTGCTCAGATGACAGGGGGAGAGTAGGGGTGCTGGTCTGTCAGGTCCTCTGTTCATCCTGGTGTAGTTCTGCAGGTGAGGGGGCGGGGCACAGTGTGAAAGGGCTGGGGACTTGCTTGGGTGAAGTATCATTGAACAAGTAAGGCCTAAGCTAAGATGGGAAAGGTGGAGACTGAGACCGGGACACCCAGACCTTCCTGAGTTGTCCGATTATACTGAACAAGCAGGGAGCCAGCCTTAAGTGAGAGAGCCACAGTTAGGCTTCAGAAGTGAATAGCAGAGAGGAAGCAACGATGGAGCCCAGGCTGCAACAGAGATGGAGTAAGCAGCCAGCTTTCCTTCAGAGACAGCCAGATGGCAGTGTCCCAAGCACTCTATCTGCCTGCTTGATACAGTAAAAAAGGCAAAGCCCCTGAACCAAAGTACCCTCTCTCAAGTCCACCACCCAAAAAGCCTCAAGGCTGGCCCACGCAGAAGCCCAGGGACCACCTGCTGTTAGATGGATCTAATAGGGAAAGAAGGCAGGCTTGTTGATAAAGTGAGGGACACCCCAAAGCTGAGTATGGCCAGACAGGGGAGGGACTGAGACATTTGGATGGAGTGAACTTATAGTCATCAGGAAACTTCCTGCAGATCACAACCTGGTGTAGACAAAGGAATACTCTTACGTGAAGCCCATGGAAGAACAGCACAGTGGGAACTGGGATGTAGCTGTGGCAGGTCATCATGTGTCTAGCATGTGTGGCACCCTGGGTTCAATCCCCCAAAACAAAACCAGAGATTTCCGTCCATACAGAGATACTGTGCCCAGGAAAGGAGCCTGGACAATGAAAGGATATGAAGCCTCTTCCGGAGCACAGGCAGAGCCCTACACCCCCAGCCTGTGTTGAGGCGCCTCACCAGCTCTGTTTGGATGGCTTGTAGCTCCTGATGAGGATGCTGAGCCAAATCCTATAGGCCAGATTATGTACAAAGAGTTGGGAAGCCCTTAGTCCTAGCCAGAGCTAAGCAGGGTCCAGTCCCACTGCCACCCTAACACCCACAAGCAGGCCAAGTCACTTGCGGACTCGCATTGATGTGGAGGGGGAAACCTTGTATACTATAAGGCATAATATAATACGATATTACCTCCTCAGAAGTGTTAGATTGAGGGGAGGGGAGGGGAAGACATTTGGGACACCACAAGAAAGGATCCATGTGGAGTTTTGCATTTGTAATCGGGAATAAAGATAGGGCATATGTGTGTCACCAGTTAAGTCCCATCCAATTAGTACAGAGGAGACCCTGACAGGTTGTGACACCTCCCCCCTCCCCAGGCCGCCTGGTGGATGCCCTGAAGAACTATGAGATCATCTTCTACCTTGCTGGCTCTGAGGTGGCCTTGGCAGGAGTCTTCATGGCACTTGCCACCTACTGTTGCCTGCACTGCTCTGAGGACACCCCATCAGGTCTACCTGCTGAGGGAGGAGCCAGTGACACCGAGGATGTGGAGGCCGAGAGAGACTCTGAGCCAATGCCTGCCAGCACTGAGGAGCCTGGCAGTCTTGAGGCTTTGGAGGTGCTGAGCCCCCGGGTGGGATCCCCAGGGCCAGAACCAGAACCAGAGGTGGAGGAAGTGCCTGGGCTGGGTCACGAGTCTGTGTAGACATCAGGCAGGTGGCCAGAGGGCATGAGAACACAGCTTCCCCTCTGAGGACCCGGTACATGGGGAGGCAGCCTGGGGTGGTTCCTGGGGTACCCCATCTGCCAGGCTGTTTGTTCCCAGTGAAGCTGTTGTGGACCGACAAGTGCACAAGATAAAGGTCTACCGAAAGACAAATTCTGCTCCTGTACCTCTCTCTGCCAGGGCTTGGGCCACCTGAACTAGGGGAGGGGTAAGAAGAGCCATTGGAGTTCAGTAGGAATGGTTGGGGGAACCCCACTAGAGACCTAGAGGCTGTTGGGGATGCTGTATGCTGAAGCACACCTGGCCGCCATCTGAACGAGAAGCAGAGCCCAAGGTCAGGGTCAGGAGTGGAGACCTATCTTGGATCGTCTTCATGTGTAGACTTCAGAGTCAATTCCAGAGAGCATGGGAGCTAGGTGGTCAGCAGAAAAAACCTCAGGGACTCTCGAGGTGTGGGTGTCCCCTCACTGCCTGGAATGGCCACCCCTCTAGAGGATCTCTAGTGACTGTCACTCCTGGAGGACATAGTTGTGGCTTTGTGGGCAGCCCGTTCATCAGTGGCCCTGGCACCTGCTCTCTACCACAGGGACTTGTGGGCCATGACCACTCTCAGATTCTGCCTCAGCTACCCAAGTGCCAGGATTACAGATGTCCACTATCACTCACAACACTTGCACTTGGACCCGTGTGAGGACCTTCCTGTCTCACTCCCAACTCTTCTAGCTAGACCTCAGCAGAATCCCTCCCACAAATGGCCCCTTCCCAACTACTGTTCCCAGCTGGGCCTCATGATTTCCGTCCAAGGTTTGGGGAATCCAGGCAATGCTCTGTTGACTTCCATTATCTGTGGCTCCCAGACTCCAGAAGGGTTGGCATCTTATCTAAGCATGTACCTACAGTGCTACCTTGGTCAAGACTATTCTATGCCCTTTATGAATCTCACTGATTCTCGTAACAATCCAACAAGGTAGAATTTACCCACACTTCACACAGGGAAACATGAGGAGGGTAGGAATCAGCCCAGGGTACAGAGGCCACTGTTGGGGCCCAAGCTGTAATTTTTTGTTTTGTTTTTTTGTTGAGACAGGGTTTCTCTGTGTAGACCAGGCTGGCCTCAAACTCAGAGATCCACCTGTCTCTACCTCTTAAGCGCTAGGATTAAAGACATGGGCCGCCATGCCCAGCTTCAAGCTGTTGGCTTTGATTTGTGCCCTTGATCACTAACAGGATGTCTCTTCAAAGATGCAGTGCTGGACCCCATGGGATGGATGGTGATAGGCTATCTCCCTCCAGTCCCACCTGGGTCTCTGCAGGACTGCAGAGCTCAAAGCTACCAAGCAAAGCTGCTCTTCCACTTTGGACCCTGCCAACTCTGCACATTCCTTCCCCTTCTGCTCTCAAGATGGCCATATCCTTGTCCTAATGGGAATTTCAGTATAAAAGTGTTGCAGGTGTGTGCCACACCCAGCCAGGCAAAGCAGCCAGCCAGACTACTGCCTAAGAGCGGCAGCATCTCCCTTGTGCCCCTGGGCCTGAACTGAACAGGTACTCCTGGAGTAGTCCTGCCAGGCTTTTATCACTTGACCAGTGTCTGTCCTGACCCCTTGCCCAAACAAAGGTTTACTTCATCACCAGGTATACAGAAAGGGTTGAAGGGAGAGTGCTCAATGATGCTGGAAGTTGTGGGAGCAGGTGACAGTCAAGGCTTTGGGACCTGCAGACTCAAGCTCAGCTCCATTGTTCTCATGTATGGTCCTGAGCCTCTCAACCCCAGACACTATGGGAACAAGAAAGCTGCTCCTGTAGGTGCTTCAAGAGATGAATGATGGACACAGAGAAAACTGCCTAAGCCTTGTGTCCCACACCCTCCCTCATGACCCAGGAGGCAGCTGAGATCTGGTTGCAGAGGAGGGTCTGAGCCATTGCAAGGAGCCCATCCATTCTGTCTGGGTTTCTGTTTATTCAATACAGGCCCAGCATCCAGCCCTTGAGGCTAAGCCAGAAACAAATAAATATAGGCTGCCAAGGTGTGCATGTGGACTCGGGGGGGCGGCCTGGG